TACAGCAACAGTTGTAGTAATGAGGAGGGCATCATGGTTTAGCTCCACTCCATTCCTCAGGGAGATTCAATCTATAGTAGAAGATCTGTCTTTTGATGGCTAGTTGTTTTCAGCATACATCAACAAAATTCTCCATTCCATGAAAGATTCCAGAGTGATGCTTTGGTCTTTGGGGATCCACAACCAAGTACCTATAAGAAGGCAATATAGGTATCAGCCCTATCTGAGACCTCGATATCCCCCATATCCACAGCACTACAGTAGACAAGACCAGCAGCAACAGAACAAAGGCAGAGGCAAAAACCAATGACGATGCCCTTCCTCTACCAATTCCCAACAGTCACAGCAGTCCCAACAAGCAAACTTGATCATCAGATCAAGGATGTGGAGAGCCTCTCACCTATTCCAATGCCATCGACACAAGCAAATCTCTTCCAGTATCGATAGTTGCCCTTCTTCAACAACTGGCAACGTATAACTTCTGACAGATGGCTCTTGCAGAGAATTGGAAAATGCTACCTTATTCCCTTTGTGTCCATACCCTATTTGCATCCCTCCCTTCTCTGGCTCTTTTCAGGGACTATCATCAGGGATCCTTCTTCAACAAGAAGTAGAGCACCTCTTACACATAAGGGCGATTGAACCAGTCCCCGCACAGTTTAGGGGTTCTACTTCCATTACTACTTGACTGAAAAAAGTTGGCCATGAAAACTGTTTTTCCTCGTAACTATTACCTCAGTTAGACAGCTAGGAGAGATTGCAGTCCTAATGGCGGATCCCCCATACATGACCTTTTTTAAAGACAAGGTCATGTTACGTATCCATCCCAAATTCCTCCCCAAAGTACACTCATTCGTCACCATCAGCCAAACAATGTACCTTCCCACCTTCTTCCCCAAACCACACGCCAACTCTTTTCAAGATGAAAATGCATACTCTTAATCTGCGCAGTTCTATCTTTTTACCTGCAGTGAACAAGATCATTCCGAGCGTCCTCCATACTATTTGTTTCAATAGCAAATCGCAATAAGGCCGGACTGTCTTATCACAGAGACTCTCCCATTGGATCTCAGATTGTGCAGCAAAGTTTGATGCACAGTCAAACGTGCAGCCTCCACAGAGCATAAGGGCACACTCAACCAGAGCCCTGACTACTTAGATAGCCTTCCTCTGTAAAGTACCCATAAGAGACATCCGCACAGTTTCCACATGATCCTCTAACCACACATTTGCAAAGCACTACGCACTTACGTGGGAACTCTTTTTTTTCCAACCTGAAACTGGCTAAGGCGGCTCTTTCCACCGCTTTTCTGCCAGATTTGAAGTCCCTACCTCCCTAAAGGAAAATTGCTTTGTAGTCGCCTAATGTGGAGCACCCACAGGGACACTCATCTTGAAGAATGTCAGCTACTATTGGGTAAGTAACCCTCTCTTAATTCATTGAAAGTGTGTCTGGCAGTGATATTGTTTCATTCTCCTATACAGAGAAGATTGATTTTTCTCCAGTAACGTGGTCGAAAATTTCTTAAAAGGGCTACTTTAGTCTCCATCCTTTGTCTGAGAACTGGTTCTTCTCTTTGAACTTAATGTGATCCTAATGTCTTTAGTGGGACCGCCATTCAAGACCATGACATCTTGTCTGTTTTCATTTTTGTGGCTGGAAACTGCATTCCTGGTAGCAATAATGTCCAGAACAAGACTTTGTGAGTTGCAGGCTCTGATGGTCGGGCCACCTCATACGCAGTCTCTAAGGGCAATGACTTGAGATAATAAATTGTGAGGTGATTGTGAAGTGTCTTCTCAGTTTCATTGGATCCAAGTGGTGTACTTGTATTCTCTCTTAAACCACTTTAATCTCTGGAGGAACAGTGTCTCCATACATTAGATGACAGATGATGGTCTAACCTTTTGCCTGGACAGGACTAAACCATTTCATGCTTTGCCTACTTGTATCATATGCAGATTGTATGAAGTGTCAAATGATCCTTTCACAGACTGTCTCTTAATGAATTAAAAAAATCCTGTATTGAATATATCTGAAATAGCTTCAGTTATGTCCCCTCAGCAGCTCATTCTATGATAGGTAAAGCAATTCCATTAGTGTTTCTTTGTGACATCACAATACTGGACATTTTCAAGGTTGCTACATGGTCATCTATATATTTACGAACCATTATGTTTTTACTGCATCTTTAAAGGCAGATGCAAGTTTTGGTAGGGCAGTCCTGCAATCCATATTTAGGTAGATTCTAAGCCTTGCTTCCTGGAGTGGGTACTGCTTATGAGTTACCTAAATGGGAATACATGGCTGCATCCTTTTGAAGAAGAAATGGTCATTTAATGTAACTGGTTCTTTGAGATCATGCAGATGTTTATTCCACCTCTGAGAGACTTTTTTCCCACTCCATTTATTGTCAACAAAAGAGCTAGTGCTAGGGGTGCCAAGAGCCTTCACGGGCCCCTGTACAAGGTGGTGGGCCCCAGTTTTGCAATCCCAGAAGGGGTGGGGCTAGGGCCAGGGCTGGGGCCGGGGCCGTGGCCGTGGCCGTGAGCGTGCCATGCAGCCCTCCCACAATCTTCAGTGCTGCGCCAAGTAGTGCTCTGGTGGTGTTCTAAAGGGCCTGGGGCTCCAGCTACTATCCCTGCTGCAGTAGCAGCAGTGGTAGCCAGGAGCTCCAGTCCCTTTTGAGTCACTGGGCCCTGGTCAGTTGCTTTCCCCATCCTCCTTTTGGCAGGCCTAGCCAGTTCAGACACTCTGCTGTTTTTGTCATCAGACTGGCTTCTCTCAGTATCCTACAATGCCTGTCCTGGTCACTCTGCTCAGTATTTTAGTCTCTGCTGCTCTACAGGCATACACCCCACACTTTCAAAGCTCAGGGAAGTATCTCTCAGCTGAGTGTGCTGCCTGCTTTGGGAAACGAGCAAATAATTGGAATGCTCCTGTTCTACCCGGCACTAAGGACACAGTGGCAGGAAGACTACTGCTACGGGAGGAGGAGGAAGACAGACTGCTCAGCTGCTTTGACATTTCTCAGCATGGAGAGCTCACTGAGCAGGCATGAAACAAAATACAGGACTATGTAGCGCTTTAAAGACTAACAAGATGGTTTATTAGATGATGAGCTTTCGTGGGCCAGACCCACTTCCTCAGATCAAATAGTGGAAGAAAATAGTCACAACCATATATACCAAAGGATACAATTTAAAAAAATGAACACATATGAAAAGGACAAATCACATTTCAGAACAGAAGA